CACGCCCAGTGACCTCAGGCTCAGGGTAGAGAGACCACCCACTTTTACTTCAATCTCTTGAGAGCCTTGCTCTTGGACCCCAGATGCCAGGCATGGCAGAAGCCTATGGAGCAGCCCTCCTGGAGAGAAAACCACGGCCCTGCCCAGTGGCCCAGCCGATCTCAGCCAAGCCAACAGTCAATGCCAATTTTTCAGACACACAAGTGAGACATCTTGAAACGTGTCCCCAGTGATGTCCATGGCACAGGAAGGAGCATGGTAAAATGGCCGTTTCGCGTACTTTTGGAGAGCTTCATTCCACAGCAGTAATGATCATCTTATTCATGTCTTCCTTGCTGAAATTCTGAGCCACTGTGGATGATTCACTTTCACTGACAAGCCAACAGCTCAAAGGTAACTGCTGTGATTGTCCCTTCCCTCGGAGTAACACCGTATTAACGGGCACAGTGGAAATCAAGGTTCCTTAGATCCCGGCACGTGTTCGGCATCTCTTTACCTCTCTCTCCTCCCTGGCTGTGCCTACAATGGAATAATTCTTTTCTGTCTGACAAAAATGCCCCACAAAAATTCTTTCCTCTCGTGGTAGTGAATTTTATTTGCTTATCTATTTTTCATTCCTTGAGAATACTTCCATTGAGTGATGGTTCTAGGTTGCAAGTTGCTTTCTTGTTTTGCTTTTTGTTTACTCGAGGTATTGTTTTGTTTGGGAGTTTCTATTCTTTATGCTAAAATGTCAGCTGTTGGTCTACTGCTCATTAAGATAAAAGTTTACTTAACAGGTCCTTTTTCTTCTCCCTCCAGTCTCCTGTTAGCACTTTTAGCATTACATGCCTATGTCGGCATTATTTTTTAATAAATACTAAGGGTTCTACAGGACTTCTTGAATATCAGACATAATACTTTCTATCAGTTCTGAACATTCTCAGTCATAATCTTTTCAAGTATTACTTCTACGACATTCTTCTGACACTCTTATTAACTCAGGGAATCTCTTAATGTCTTTTAGAGACAGTTCTGAATTTTCCATTTTTATCCATTTTTGTGCTTCATTCTGGCTATTTCTTTTGTCCAAAATTCCAAACCTACCTTTCAAAGCACAAATTCTCCTTTTGCCTATATCTAGTCTTGTAAAGTATTTTTCCAGCTTTTTATTAGTACATGTTTATAGTACAAAATGTTCACATTTTTTGTGGGCAGTTGGTCCATACACAGAACACATTTTAATTCTTTTTTCTGTCCCCTTTCCCTCCCTGACTCCTTCCCCACCTCCATCTCTTGGTCCCCTTCCTCTTTCAGAAAAATCTACTCCCTACTTCTTATCATCTATTCTTTATTTTGTTCTTTACTTATACTTTGGGTTTCTCACATAAGAGAAACTATGTGACATTTAAACTTGTGTGTCTGGTTTTATCTTTCCTGACGGCCGAGTAGTACTCCTCTGTGTGGAAATCCTGCATTCTCTTCATCCCTTCCCTCTTTTGATGGACTCATGGGCTGCTTCCAAGGTTTAGCTTTTGAGAATTGTGGACATGGGCGTGCATGGATCACTATAATCTGCCTTTAATTCTTTCAAAACGAGATCTTTTGTAGTCTTAATTTCATGTGCAGACATTTCTCAGTAATCTCCCCCCAAGTGGAAAATACCCTAATTCAGAGCTGCATTCACTACACCTGAGCCTCTATCTAGGCCGCTAACAATGCCAGAGACACCGCGGCTGGAAGGCAATAGTCCGCGTAGAATAATGGGGATGTGGCCTCATGGAGCTGTCTATTTTTATACAGAATGAACTTTTATAAATGGTCTAAAATGGGGCATCCCTACCCCATATCGAAATTACTTTTAAGTAATAACTGCAGTATACTCTCTCAAACACACTCCTCTTTTTAAATGTAAAATAAAGTTCATTTTTGTTCTTAATTCTCCCAACTATGACACTGAGGCTCTGGGCCACTGATTTCAAGCAGTGAAACGTCATCTCATCTACATGAGAGGAGAGGATTTGATTTGACCCGCAAGATAACTTTTCCAATCACTCAATTACTCACAGTCCTGAGGATTCCATAGTCATGACTTGGATTGCTATGTGTCTTCACATAGACTTTCCTCCTTAATATTTATTAAACACATCAGAACCAGGTCTTACTAGACATCTTTTGCTAGAAGAAAACTACAGCTCAGAGAAGTCAAATACCCCAACCACAGACGCCGACTTGGAAGCGAATAACCCAGCCATGAGCCTGGGGATTTGGGAAGCCAGAGATCAAATCGGGAGTTTATCTGGGGGAGAGAGTTCACTTTAATTCTACTTCTAACAATCTTTTCAACAAGTAATTCCTATAAAAATTGTTGAAATACGAAACTTGAGAAGGAAGGAAGGTAATCCCCCCACAGCCATTACTTCTGAGTCACAAAGATAATTTGCAAAGCCATAAAATCCAGCTGCACAAGGGATCATTGAGAGGCCCCAGCCCACACATTCTATTACAAAGGGTGACATTAGACCCAGAGAAACAAGAGAGCAGAAAGAGGACAAAAACAAGAGCCAAAGGTGATGGGGAAAGAAAGCTATACGCGTGTATTTGTTTAAATTGTGATTTCTTATTTAGCAAGCTGTTTGGTAATAATAGTTACCGGATTTAATTGGATATTATGGGACCGATAACACAGCAACTATTGTGCCAATTACAGAATTAGTTGTTTTAAGGGTGAGAATCTTGCTGAAGAAATACAATTTGCAACTAAGAAAACACATTACAATGCACCAATGGAGAAAAACATGCTTAATAATCCATATTAAAAATGCATTTTAGAATTTTCTAAGCAAGGTATTCTGTTAGAAATAGGCTACCCATGGTGGGCACCTTTTCCTTATTTCTTCTCGTTGCCTCCAAGGCTGCTTCAGACCCAAGAAAACAGCAAGAGGAGGACGGGAGAGGCTCAGAGCAGGACCGGGAGGAGCTCCCCAGAGACAGACCCAACTCAGAGGAACCAGGGCGCTGTAAGCATTCACGACATGATTTTCCCCATGTTTTCCACACCGAGGATGTGTGTGGTGGTGAGGACGGGGGTATGAGTTGGGATCAGTGAGAGTCAGATGAGGAAAGGGCCTGTCCCAGAGCAGAGAACGGCTGAGTCCCTGCTCCCAGAGGGAAGGCAAGAGACTGGGGGCTTCAAATCCCCTTTCAGACTTTGATGGAAAAAGAACCCATGAGCACATTTATGTGTCCATCGCTTGGAAATTAGTCTCTAACACCGTCGTGTTGGGAGGTGGTAGCCAACCAGGGAATATTCGTTAAAACATGGATGCATGGCAGGAATAGCAAGGAGGCTTTTCTTTGACCCAGACTTAGTTACTTCTGATAACAAGTTGCAACACAGTCGACCAGACTGACATCTCACAACGGCTGCTTAGTACTCTGTGTGTGTCTGTGCATGTGTGTGAACGGTGTGAGGTGTGGGAGAGCGGGTGTGGACCGCCCACCGGGCATACCATACCTGTGCTCCGCTGCAGGCTCGGTGGTGCTCATTTGGCTTCCCGTGGACGGTGTCCACCTTGCAGAACAGCACAGAGAGGACCAGCATCCTCCATGGCTGGATGCCCTGCACCTCCCCACAGTCTGGGTAGAGATCAGCGGCCAGGCTCTCCTGGATCCTCTCCCAGGCAGGAAGTGGGGAGACACAGAGCAGAAGTCACCAGAGAAGTGGCAGGGTAGGGGCACAGGGACACGAGGCAGGGCCTGCTCCTGTCCCTGGACGTCACCTGTCTCCTTCAGGCCCTAGCTCGGGGCCCGAGTGCAGCACGCTGGTCACTCAGAGAGTGTGGTCATGCAGGTCCAGCACCCTGGGTTACCATCCATCTCACCCCCCAGACTGCAGACCCCAAGGGAAAAGTGGGACAGTGCCCTCCAGGACCTGAGGGACACAAGAGCCAGCTTCTACGTGTCTGCTTGGCTGGGCAATGCTGGAGTCCCCAGGTGTCATCCAAACCTGCTGTCCTCCCAGAGTACAGGAGCCTCACAGAGCCCCGTGACCAGGTCAACCCACGAGGAGGCTACAGCTGAGGGACAGAGCCCAGGCTGCCCCTGAGCCCCTCATCTTGTGACGGGGACCCCGCTGTCCCTCACAGGAAGATGACAGCTCTCCAGGACCCCAGAGAGCAGGCCAGAGGCGCCACCAGCCCAACATGCCTGACCGGTTGCCTGGCTGCCCCAGCTCTGCTCCTCTATAAAAAGTGGGTGCTCATGGGTTTGCTGCAGAGCAAACCACAGATCTGATTTACAAAGTGCATGTCTTACAGAAGCACTGATAATGGAAAATAAGAGATGACCATCACCAGGATCACTATGGCTCCATGCTCGGCTCTGCATTAGCCCATTCCGTGTCGTTTATATTTTATTGTTTAGTGGTACATGCTAGATATACATAATGATCACATTTGGCATAGAGAATTTGCATCTGTGTCTCTTTGTGAGAAGTGGAAAGTGTAAATAAAGACCAAATGTGTACTAGATATTATGACCTAGGCACTATTTGCTGTGTAAAGTAAACCCCTGCAGCAGTGGATATATCATCTGCATTTAGAGATCAGGGAACTAAGCAAAGCCAACAATACTAAGATCTATAGTTCTCCAAGTTCACTGCAATGCTGAAGTCCTAAAAGCTCACCAAGAAAGAAAACTACTAAACATGTAAAGCAAAATTTGACCTGAACTGGCAACTCTGAATAGCCTTAATTTCTTCCACTTGAGGAAATACTGGTTCACGGCAGTGTAGAGATCCTGATTGTTTAACTATCAAACCTTACCAGGCCCCGATGGGCTCTCGCACAGGCTTCACCTGTGGGTGTGGTCGCCTTTCCAAGGTTCAACTGTCCTGAGTTTCTAGACACAGTCCAACCTGCTTCCTCACCAACTCGCGCTCCGCTCACTCCACACACACACACACACACACCAGAAAGGGACGGAAGTGGGCGGAGCAGCCGCGGGCCGGTGAGGCCAGAGGCTGCGCTGCGAGCAGAGTGACACGGACGTGTGTGACGAGAGAGAAAGCTTCTGAGGACCCGGCCGACGGTCAGCGCTACAGCACTTGCCTGGTGTGGGCGAGGCCCAGGCCTCACCCCAGCAACAAAGGTGAGATCTGAGCTAAAGTGACTCCTAGTTGGCCGGCTAATGACCCCAGAGACTGTTGTGCACCCTTCCCTTATCAAACAACAGGTACCGAGGACACAACATTCAATTTTGGCCTTAACCTGTCAGGATGGAAAGCTTGGGTCAGCACCCTCAAGGACCAATTATTGTTACGTTGCTTGTCTTCATGTTTGGTCCCTGCATGGAAAAATGGAGCAAGGGGTAAGGAGTTACTCCAAAAACAAAGGGAGGAATGATGGGAAAACTTTTATAAATAACCAAAGTCCTACAAAATGTTAGGAAAATGTAGGATGACTTCTGTTCTTCTAACTGAAATCTGCTTTGTTTAGTTCAAAATTAAAAGACACTGGAGGCATTAACTGTAGAATGGGACAGCTGGCCTCATCCTGAGATAAAGGCACGTCAAGACCCCGAGCTCCAAAGTTTTGAGAGCCACATGATTGTAAAAGTGTCGAGATGCAAAGAGCAATCGTTTAACTTTGCTTTTCTGACCTTGAACATCCTCTTCCCCTGGGCTAGCACGGATAGCTAGACAAATCTTAAAGGTTAAACTCCCTAACGACAAAGAATTGCTGTATCTGGATTAAAGTTAACTGCCTTGTGACCATGATTTGTATATCTGTAAATGAAACGCAGCCACCTGAATGAGGTCATGGCTGTAAACCCTATAAAACCTACTCACAGTCCTGTAAGAGGGCTTCACTTCTCTTAGAGAGTAGAGTCTGCACGTGTGAAAGAAACTTCTTTCAGTCTTATCTGTGTCCCGGTATTTGGTGTACTCACTGGCTTGGTACAACAACTAAATGGTTCTGAGAGGAAAAACCCAATTTTCCTGTGAGCTGCGCTGCCTGTGGCCTTCCACATGCTGGCTCTCCCTCCTGTGTCCTTGGTCCTAACTACATCAGGGGCCCTGGAGGGCCCTCCAGGTGGGAGGAGCTGGATTTCCAAAGTGCTTGGCTCGGCCTGGAGCACAGGAGGGCTTAATGAGACTGGCAGGTGGAGAGGAGGAGCAGGTTATAAATAGCTCTGGGCACATCCGTCCATCTGGCCTGAGTGGCAGTGCAGGCTGCCCCCCAGGGCCCCGATGCCCCTTGCGTCTCCTCACCACCCAGAGTCAAGGCCGCCTCAAGACACCACCTCCCTTCCCAGGACCTCGAGTTCAGGTCGCCCTGGCTGTTGGGTGCCCTGAGGCACTGCCCCTCTCCCTGAGCAGGGGACCGACTCTGACCTGGGCAGTGCCTGGCAGTGGCGCAGAGGTGGCCCAGGCCTCTCCAAATCTGCACCAGGACATTCAGGCAGGGATGTGTCCCCAAGGTGACTTTATGACAACACAATCCCCCCCTAAAGTGAAACGTCCTGTGAAGAACACAGGGGAGCAAGGGATGCTGATGCCCTATGTCATCCTAGCACTCTGGGAGGCTGAGGCAGGAGGATGTCAAGTCTGAGCTTAGCCTGGCCATTTCGTGCCTTAGCAAGGCCCTGTCTCAAAACATTAAAAGAAAGGGGAGGGGCCTGGCTGGGCATGAGGCTTAGTGAGAAGGCCCTGGGTCCAGTCCTCAGTGCTTAGAAATAAGACAGGAAGGAAAGGGCAGAATTTCCATGTCCCCAGGCACACCCGTGACATGCTGTGAACATCATGAAGGGCTGCAGAAGCTGAGGACTATAAAAGATAGAAAGGCGGTGATGGAGAACTTGGAAAGAGCAGAGACGGTTCATGAGTTCACAGCACAGTGCCAGTACAGAAGACCACACAGCCTCCACCAGCCCTGAGGTTCTGCAGCTCAGGGTAGCCCCCATACCTCTACCGTGCTCAGCTCAGCTCAGCTCATCCTGACTGAGTCCTGCAGGCAACGCCCAGCACACCCAGGCACAAGACACTCGCGGGATCATGGAGTTGCTGGCTCCAACAAGGGTTCAGTCTGGCCGATGCTGGGACGGCCCTGTGTGCTAGCATGTACATGTGCGGGGCTAGCGTGTACATGAGCATGCACTCACGCCTGACGTTCGCTTAGTAAATGGCAGCACAACACGCATCTCATGTGCTCTTGTGCATGACGACTGCTGCACCTTTATCTACAGTGCCTCAGTCCCTCCCGCGGCCACCTCCCTGAAACTGTTACTGTCTGATCCCGTCCTTTGCTCACCTATGGATCAAGTAGAGAGAGATTCGGTTGGGCGCCGTACTGGTTCCCTCTGAACACAGGCACCCAGGGCTCTGCACAGTCCCTGTGCTGTCAGTTTTGTTTCAGTCAGCACAGTCCTGCCCCTGCCCACGACAGCAGCCGCCCAAGGCTGTGCTTACAACCACGGTGACGCAGAGTCTTCTCCACTGGACAGATGATTTCTGCACAGACCACAACCCGGGCTTGGCCAGCAAGGCCGTGCCTATGCCACTGCAGGCCAGGGGCCAGTGGGACGAGCGGGCAGCACCATCCCCGCCTCTCAGGGACTCGAGGGGCAGGAAGGACCTGGCCAGTGCTTGGAGAACCATGTTCCAGCTGCCTTGGGGCTCCCTCGCTACCCTGCCTTGGCCAGTGGTCACCCCCACGCCACGTGGCCTTCATCCCCACATGCAGCAAGCTAGGTGGCCTTCGGCAGGTGACCCTCATGCTCACTGTGGCTGTGAACAGTTCACACCGCTGCCAAGTCCAGGGTTGAGCTGTGCAGGTCATGCCTCGGTGGTGTTGGGAACGCTTGTCAGGATGTTTTGTGATAAACTAAAGTGGTTTCCACAGGGTCCCCTGAAAATCGTCCCCATGAAGGTGACAGGCAGGTACCGGACACATCCTGATCGCCACTCCCCCTTGTACTGTAGTTTGTCGCCATCCCAGAAATCACCTCTCACAGGTCTACTGTGTGGCTTCTGAGACCTGCCTCGCCTTGGGGAGCCATGTGAGGAATCCCCGTGGCTGTGAGGGCGGCTGCTGCGGTCTCCCTTAGTGTGCCGGAACACCTCCCAGCCTGCACAGGGGTCTGGGAACAAACTGAGCGCTGAACTCACAAAGCCCACCGCAGAGTCACTGAGAAATTCCTCTCCATAGTAGGGTAGGCAGAAGTTTACCCTGTACCCATCACAGTTAGGACAGGAAGAGCCTGAGCTTGACTTAATTAATCCACGACTACCCACTAAACCAGGCCATCCAGGGTCTCTTACGGACACCACAAGCAAAGCAGCCCATTCCCAGAGGATGTCCCGGAGTTCAGTGTGCAGATTAGGCTAAAGGGGTTTTTTTTTTTTTTTAAGCTTTTCTGTATTTCCTTAAATACTACTCAAGTGCACCGAAGGCAGATTAGAGATAAGGTTATTCCGATACATGGAGTTTACATGGGTGTTCATGCTAGCAAATGCCAGCATCTGTGGGTAACTAATAATTCCAGAAAAACTAGGACTGCCCTTACCTTGGTCTCCATCAAGCAGTCTTCTCAGTCTGCGCAGTGCTGTGAGAGCCTGCAGAGCCTGCGAACTTACTGAAGACGACTGCTTCTCAGTCCTGGGGCTCGCGGGTATAGCTGGTACACGGAGCCGCAGCAGGGCAGGGGCTGCACGTGGAGCACAGAGCCACAGGCCCTGTCATACTTCAGCCTTCACAGAGCCATGCGCCACACCTGCAGCCCGCGGTGTGGTGTCCAACCTGTTACCTCCCGAGGTGCCGCCTCCAGGCCCAGCACAGCACACCTGGGGGACACACGCCCCACAGTGCAGCAGACTGAGGCTCCCGGGTGTCGCTTTCCTCGGGAGGCAGCAGGGACTGAGCAGGGTAGCAGGCGGGAGCTGGGTCCTCCCAACACTGTCTCCGTCCCTATGCCTCTCTGTGCCCGGATGGGGCCATGGACGTGCACTAGCCAAAGGCACAGGCCGGTTCTCCAGGGTCCTGCTGAGCCGGGCAGGTGGTATTTACAGATGACCCCAGCACTCTGAGAGGCCGAGGCAGAGGATTGTGGCTTGGCACCCAGCGTGGACAATTTAGTGAGATTCTGTCACTAAATAAAAAAAGGAAGGGTAGGAGTGTCTTTTAGCCCTTGCATCGATTCAAACCCCACAACTCCAAGGAAAAAATCCTGTCAGGCTGTGGTATTTCTCCCATTAACAGGAAACAAGATCACAGCCCAGAAGCCGTCCTCATGGCCCAGGGGCCACTGCCCGGCATTCAGGATGGGTCCCTGCCCACACCCTGGGCCGCCTTGGCCTGGTCCGCTGTGGGACACTGCTTTGGATCCAGAGGGAGCAGCGGGAGTGGCAGGGTGGGTGGTGAGGGGCAGGGAATCAGAGGCAGGAGTGGGGGCCTGTGGCCCGGCCACCACAGGCCACTGTCCCGGGGATGCCGGACAGGCTCCTAAGGTGCCAGAGTGGAGGGCATGGCAGGAGGGCACTGGGCAGCATGGGAGGCCCAGGTGGGGCTGGGAATTCCTGGGGTGGTGGGTGGCAGCCCAGGCCACCTCTTCCGGGCCAGGAGTCCCCTCTTCAGGGCCCTCACCCGCCTGACAGTGAGCCCCGGCCCTCTCCAAAGTGTGGTGATGAGGAAACTGGGAAACTGCAGGATTTGGGGCACCTACAGCGATGGAGGCTCTGCACCTGAGCTGCCTCCAGAGGAAAGTGGACAGCACCTCCGGCTGTGTCCCTCCTTGGGGAGGGAGGAGGAGCCTCCTGGGAATTGGCCACTCTGTGGGCTTCCTCTCCCACCTGCCCTGGAGGCTAAGGTACAGGCACTGCCATTTGTCCCTGCTCCTCTGCCCCAGGGAACACGGTGCCCTGGGGCAGTGACCTGCCAGCCCAACTATGGGACGTGCCGCGGGCCCTGCTTGGGGGACACACAAAGGCGGCCAGGCTGCGGAAGGCTACGTTATTCCTGCAGCTTCTGCCAGGTGTCTGGAACCCCCCCAGACAATCCTCCTCGTGGACTCGCTCCATGCTGCTGACCCCAAGCTGAAATCCAGTTCACCTCCACGCGGCATTCCCGAGAACACGAATGAGAGAAGCGGACGTGCGTGTGGGTACCCAAAACACGCAGGAGCCCTGTCCCGGTGAGGAGCCCCTGGGCTCTCACAGGACGTGAGCAGGGCCCCAAGTTCAGCCCGCCTCTCTTCAGCCTTCCCTCTGCGGCCCCAGGGACCCAGAGCACCGTCCTTCCAACCTAGTGCGGCACTGACAAGTCCCGCAGCCTCTGGAACTGCGCCCCGAAATCTGAACCTCACTGTGCTCAGGCACTGCAGCCGGCAAAGTGGACCAAGCCAATCCGCACGCGGCCCTGAGGGACCATTCCACACCCACTCGACGACCAGCTTGGAACGTTACTTATGAACTAACCGGGGAGCTTCAGTCCGGTGGAGGAGATATTTCAGGAGAGGAAGTCATCTGCTCTCTTCCAGGGAAGAGAAGACCAAACTCACAGGTTTCCTCCCGTTCTGCCCCCACCACAGCCCCAGCCTCTCTGAGAGGAGCCAGCCTTTCCCCTACCAACAACCCCACTAGAGATCAACGAGCTTCCCTCACGACAGCTCTGTCTCCCCA